TTAAGGAGTTTCCCCCGTGCGTGCTGGCAGCCTTGCGCTGCTCTCAGAGTCCCGACTTCCGTGTGTGAGTTTCCCCCGCGCTCCTAAGAAACTGCCTCCCAGACTCCAGCCTAGTGCTCCCCCGTGCTCGTAAGAGTCCCAAATTCCATGTGCAGCTGGACCCAGGGAGGCGGCCATCCCCCGGACCGGGTGCTTGTCTGGGCCAGCTGGCCTGGCAGCTGCTCACAACAGCTTCCAGCGGGTTTCGTAGCTTTCATCTGCAAAAGGGGAAGGAGGCGGCCCAAGCTGCCGAGGCCTTTGCTCCGACCAGTGCCAGCAGCACTTCCTGGATATGCCAACCATTAAGACGCCCAGGCCAGGGTTGGGTCCAGACTCAAACCCAGGTGGAAAGGAGTGGGACCCCCTGCCAAGGCCGCACAGCCCTAGAGGGGAGCCTGTGGGGTGGGCTCCCCTTGCCCTCTGCAGAGGCTCAAGGCCCCCAGGGGCATAAGGACTGGGTTCCCAGGCCAGCCTGGTGTTTATCAGCTGTCTCTTTAGTCTCAGCTGACCTCCCCTGACCACGGCCCCATTGCACTACCTGCCCCAAACCAGGCCAGTTCCTCTTCCAGAAGTCCCGGCTGTCCTCAGGGTGGGCTGCCCTCTTCTTGGTCAGCTTCAGATGGGGCCTCTGGTTGCACTGAGGCCCCTTCCCCTGCTCAGAACTGTCCCTGCCACCCCCCCCCCCCGACTGCCCTCCTAGACACTGCACGGAGAGCTCCTTCCTGTTCACAGGTGAGGACACCTGAGCTTGGAGGCATCTTAACTCAGACATGCGTGGCCAGGACCCAGCTGGGTCCGTGAGTCCTGGCTGGGGCCGGGGTCTGTGCTTGCGGCTGTGTGCCAACAGGGTTTGCAGAGGAAAGGAACCTGACGTAGCATCTTATTACTCATTGTTCCTTTTTCTTATGAGTTCTGAGAAGTGGGCAGCAGTAGTGATACGAGAATGACCCCAGATGCACGCAGGCATCAGAGCAGAACCTGGCAGTGGCCCCTTCTGAAGCACATACAAGCCCTGTTGTGTCCTCCACAGATGCTCGTCTCTGACTGATGCAGACACTTCAAGACAAAACCACAATGCCTTGCAAGACTAGACAGTTCAGAATAGTTCCCAACGGCTCTTTTTTTTTTACTTTTTTTTTTTTTCTCTTGAGACAGAGTCTCCCTTTGTCACCCAGGCCGGAATGCAGTGACATGATCTCAGCTCACTGCAACCTCTGCCTCCCAGGTTCAGAGCGATTCTCCTGCATCAGCCTCCCCAGTAGCTGGGATTACAGGCATGCACCACCACACCTGGTTAATTTGTGTATTTTTAGTAGAGACTTGGTTTCACCAGGATGGTCTGTGTTGGCCAGGCTGGTCTCGAACTCCTGAGCTCAGGCAATCCGCCTACCTTGGCCTCCCAAAGTGCTAGGATTACAGGTGTGAGCCACCATGCCTGGCCTGTTTTGGATATTTTAATGATTCTGCCTGGCGACACATCCATCTGCCAGGACATGCATGAGCCATTGACTTTGTCAACAGTCGCTCCTGGCGTTCCGTGGCCAGTCTCAGGACAACCTGCTGGTCCCTGCCCCCACCTCAAGGGGCGCCATGGGTCTTGGCCGGCATGTGCCTCTGGTGTACAGGCACCTGGCTGTTTTCTTTCTCTTCCTTAGGCTCCTGGGCCGCCAGCCTGAGCTCCTGGTTTCTCTCTGAGGGTCTGTGGGGAGCTGTGACACGTCGGGGCTGTGA